TGGGATGTTGTAGTAGAAAGATAGAAAAGTTTACACATGTTTACATTATTCTTGCAATTTCTATAAATGTGAATCTCAAATGTTGGATACAAAAATCATTTAACAATATGATCTTTTAAAAAAATCTCTTTTTATTTTATAACAAGACGTTTAAAAATATTGAATTATAGTATATTATTTGTTCATTTTTATAACATTAAAATAACTGAAAACTGACCCATTCATAATTTTTGTTCTATTGCAACTAATCACATTTATATTTTTTTTTCAGGGAGAAATTTGGATTATACCAGGTAGATTACAACAATCCTAATCGCACACGAACCCCCAAAAAATCATCCAAGTTTTTTGCAGAGATTGCAAGAACACACAAACTGCCATCATGAAACTTGACCTCAGTGCGATATCCAATGTCCTTACAAGGAGTTCCTCTGAAGCTTTATTCTGATGTAAGGTTCTTAAAATGATTCTTACAGTTGCGTATGTATTGAAACTGAATTAATAAATTAGGATGATGAGTAAGAAATATAGTTTTTTTAATACATTGTGTTTTTAAACCAAGATACTAGTATTACAAGATCATTGAAATTTGAGAATTAACTTCAATACTTCCTCTGAAAGAAGAACAAACAAGTTTTCTATGGTGAGGGCTGAACTGAAGAGGAAAGCTGCTAATTTTCCTGCAATATTACAAAATGTACTTCAAAATGGATATATGTTCTGTGTTTGTTTCAGAGTTTAATTTACTTTAATATGTGTGTAACATGTTGAATAATTCTGGAAGAATAAATTCTAAAATAACAACCGATGCTTCTGTATTATATAAATTATGCTAAATGATTGTTGTACAATGAAAAAAGTAAAATTGTGGTGTTGATGAATACCATACTTTTCTTTAATTCTTCATTCCTCTTTGTTACCATAAATTCATGTACATATCAACTATACAGTTTCAGATACCATTTTCAAAGCATGTAAATAATTTATTATTAAATGCTCCTCTTGATAAGAATATTAGTGGACTGTATTCATTAGCATACCTTATTTCTGGTAGATCTCGACACTGCTGACAGGCCTTTCACAGAAACTTTTTTGTTTGTGATAATTCATTGACATACACAGGCCTGCTGCAAGTCTTTTGGGAAAAGCTCATTTTTTACTTCTTGCATACTGCTTACTCTGTATAAGAACATAATTGTAATGCTGCGGAAAAAACGGAATAGTTTGGACACAAAAATGTTATTGTTGGGCCCTGGCAATGATAAACTGGTTAATATTGTTTCTATACGAAGTAAATTAATCCTGTAACACATTGTGCAGCTAGAATTCATGTTTTGGTGTATTTCAGATCGAAAAATGGTTGATGCCAAAACGACTGTCGGTTCGTCTTCCTGGTCAACGCATGTACCTACATATACCGTTCGGGCAATTTTCTTAAAATCGTTGTTTTCCGACTGACCTGGACGAACTCAAGGTTCTCCAAGTGTGAAACGGATATTTTAATTTTTGTGACGTTTATACGAGTCCTCAACATTTTGAAGATTTTCTAGAAACTGCCAATGTTCTAAATGGTATCTGTTCTAAACATCAGTTCTTTAAAAAACGCCATGTACATTTTTTGAGAAATGTAAATAAACAGCATTATTTTCAAATTTCCAGCACTTTTTTTTGAATATTCCAAGAATTTTCAGATTACAATACAACAGCGGGAACTTCGTAAGACGGTGTTTTAAATTCTCAGAATAACTTTTTGTTGGGCAGTGTTTCTGGGTGAATGGAACGGACTTTTGGATTGTTAAATTTCTGATATTAGCATTAAATGACTTAAATTTTCGCCCCTCATGTCCTACATTTGGTAATGGGTTTTACAAGTGATGTTTTAGATTTGTTAATATCGACAGAAATTGCGTCATATTGTTTTTAATACGCCGTTCTCGGAAGGCTGTTTCTCCTGCACGTTTTCCGCAAGTCTCCGCTATTTTTTTCACACTGTGCGAAGTATCTGTAACGATTCGCAATTGTCTTGACAGAGTCTTTATTATGTACAAACAATAAAGTTACGACTCAGACTGGAATCCATTACTTTTGTACAAGTAAGGTATTTATGTTTATTTGACATTTAATTTATATTCATAAACTTGACGCATTTCGTTTCGCTCATGGCGTTTTATAGCCCAATTTCTCTTCGAATTATGTTTTGTAAAAGTCATATGAAATAATAGAACATTTGGTGCGAAAAATAAGCAGTATGCGAGAATGTATAATGATATGAAAATAATGTAACTAATATAATGTTGTAATATTCTACAAATACATAAAATTATTAGTTATTATTATTGTGAACGAAAAGCAGCAGTCATTATCGCCTTCTGTAATCTGTGAGGTGTTATATCAACGGGTTACAACTAACAATGACCACTCAGGTATTCGTTTTCACATTCCACACAAAGGGCCCAATTTAAATTAAAATAAAATATAATATAACTTTAATAAATGATAATACAAATAAATATGAAATAATATTCCAATTCTAACTTACGTAGCATGTGTAAATTGGGAGCGGGCGACTGAACGCTAGCAGTATTTATTTCATATTCATTTCAAATATGTTTTAAATTTCATAAAAGTAGTTGAACATTTTTTAAAATATTAATTTGTGAACGTATAAGAAAAGCTTCAATGTAAGAAAAGAAGAAACATACAAGAAATACTAAACGTATTCTAACATTGCTATCTAGCAACCTACTGCTTAAAAACACCTAAAATTACGATGAGGAAACGCAGAATTTTCAGAGCGAGCGACTGACTTTGACGACCAATTACTCAAAAAATACTAATATGTTCAAAAATTACATTATTACTTTATTTGAAAATCAGTGTTTGATGAGCACGTTTCATTGAAAAAAAAATATATTAATAATTGTTGTAGGAAGACGCCGAAAAAACTATGAATTTTTTCAGTTATCGAAAAAACAGGGTTTCCAACCAACATGAGAACTGCACCGTATTCTTAAATGGCTCGATCTGTAGTGTAACTACTCACAGAATGTCTTTTGGGTTAGGGGAACTTTTTACTTTCTAATTTGGGATACCTTTTGGAGAGAAAGTGGCCACCTAAGACTGTGGCCCTAATAATATTATAGTTAACTAATTATAATTATAATCGTTACTAAGGGCGAAAAAATACACGCTGTTGTAGCACTACTAGTTTTGAACTGTACAGACTCACTTTAATTTGGTGTACATGCTTAAAAAATTTCCTTTGAGGCGTGATTCTGTAAAGGCAGCAACAGGGGCACATAAAACGCAGTGGAAAGACATTATCGCTGAAGATATTAATTCGAAATATGATTAAGTGCGAGAGTGATCAACAGATAAAAATTGTCCAGAACTATGACCTTTGACGATGCTGAAATTATAATTTCTTTCGTTGATTAGTTTGAATACTAGCCACAAGGATTCATTTGATTATTCTTTGGTGAGGAAGGGGAGTGAAACATATGATAAACTCAATTACCTCACGTTCAACAAAGCATAGATAATTACGAACTAGATTCACGTATGTAATAGGGGGTTGCAAAAGTTGTAGACGAGAGTCTTTTTAGGAGATCTCAATTTATTACTCTGGATTTTCAAAATAATTACTTTTTGCTCCTCTATCAGAAATATAGACGCTTATAGATCGATCAAACTACAATTTGAAAGTAAAAGCAATTTACTCGTGAAAATTGTTTCCTTTTTACTTTCTCACTATCGCTTACGCAGTAGAGAGAAAGTTATGTAATGCTCGGCGAAAAACTGGCTAATTTGGGGCAGAAAACTTACTACTGGACCCTGTTAACGAAAAATGGATAAATCCAGTTGCTAATTTAAAAAAAAAAAAGCTCTAACACGTGTTGTAGCCAAAATCCATGTTTTATAGGTTCTTGATCCCGAAAACTCGATTGACGGCGAAACTCAGTCAGTCCGTCTTTCTGGCGTATGTGACTAACACTAGCGTCTAAACCATTCGTAGGATTTTTTTGAAATTCGAGAAAGTCTGTCATTCTGTAGCACTATTACTTTTGGTCTGGCCTAGCTTTTTGGTCTTGGGCTGCCGACAAATTTTAAAAATTGAAAGACTACAAGGTCGATGATATATTTTTTTCTTGTAGTTCGCTCTCAACCGCCGAGCGGAACGGACGTGACCTAGCTCCGAGTTGCTCGTGCAGTTATCAGTGACTGAGTCAAGCCTTATCAGTGCCTAGTGCGATTCGGATAACGCGTGTGAATAGGCCCGTAGTCAACGATCGTTTTTGCCGCATTAGCGGCAAAAACTAAATACAAAACAATTAGACCTAATAATAGTGCACCGTCACAGAGACAAAAATCAAGTGTGCTTTATAACGTGAGTGGACATAACAGAACTTAAAAATTGTTAAAACTCAGTAAAAGTGCTACAAAAATAATTACGATAAGTGCTCAAAATGGTTTAATGGAAGAAAGATTCACCTAGAGAGAACACATCAGCAGATCCATCGAACTATTAAATAAGATGGAAACTGTGAATCATACACAAGACAAACTAAGTCACAATTCTCACCAAGACAAGCCCAAATAGCAGATCTTCAACAAACAGTTATCAACATCTCCTACATCAAAGATCATATTCTCCAAGAACACCTTAACAAATTAGAACACCAAAAACCAAATTCTACAACAAACAGCTTCTTCATTCATGACTGATGCAACAAAAACAGCGCAGGAAACAACGGCCATTTCCTTCAAATATACGTGGACACGCGCACAATCAACTGGAAACCTCCAATCTTTGCAGAAGCTAAGCTACAGAAATCAACAGTGCCATTCTCACCAGACAACAAGCGCCACAACAATCAACTCACCAAAAAAAAGAGGACTCTCAAAAAGTAACTATAGTGACGCCAAGCGTAGAATGCTCATCAATTGGCAAGTAATGACATTACCTCAATAAAAAGATACTCAATATTTAGAATCAGTAGACGAATCAGAGGAAAATGTAAAACATGAACTCAAGTAGAAAAATGTAAAAATTCCCCGATGCCTCAGAAACGCAGGAAATATAACTCTTCTAACAAAAGACCAAAAGAACTAATAGGAAACGCTTTACACTCAAAAACCATAGGAATTCAAGTAAAAATATTTATTGAAAAACGTTCAGAATACCGAAAAAGTTAGCAAAATAATTGTGAAGAAAAAAGTTTCCCTACATACATACTGTGTTGCCAAACTGAAAAAAAAACTTATCAGTAGTAATAAAAATTACCCATAATATCACCCGAAGAAGAAATTTACAACGAATTAAAAAATCTAAACTACAATAAAAAAGTAACCAGATAACTAACAGAGAACAATTACCATTCAAAATAGTAGCATTGAGAACTATCAAACTCCACAGAAGAAAGGAAATATTAAACGGGTTAGACAAATTACTTCACTGTATTGTAAGGTAGAAAATAAGAAGGAACCACAAGCGCCCCCCTCAATGTCTAAAAAATGGCCTTTACTTATGGACACACAAAAAAATTATTGCACAATGCACCAAAATTGTGGCTTACTTGCAGAACAACATTGGACAAAAGACTGTAAATTATTACAATCCCACAAACCCACCACCCCCAATTTGTACTCTGTCTGTTAAGAAAAATCATATGGCTAGCTCATAATCAATGCCAAGTACTTTCCAAAAAGAAAGAGAATCCCATTCAATCAAATCCAATTAAATACCCAATTTTCCAAGCTCCACAATCACATCAAAAACTATGAAAACAAAACTCACTCACAGACATTCCCCACAACAAACAAACATAAATTCAAAAAGTCCACTACATGCCCACAATTGGCCTCTTAATAACAGGCAAAATACAACTTCACCCACTTTATCACAAAACAGTTACACAAAATAACCATACAGACAAATATCACACAAATTATAATTGCAGATGTTACCAAACAATAGTTAACCAAATAACAGCTACTATTAATTCCACAGATACAAAACATTGTAAATCAAATCAAATCTCAAATATAATAAGAAAATGGATAAACAGCCCAACTTAAAATCAATAACACATCTTAACTGGGAATGCAAATGGGAATTACCAATAAAAAAAATACACTTATTCAATCCTTAAAAAAAAACACTCAATAACAATTGCATGCATAACAGAAAACACACCTTAGCACCAGGACAAATCTTTCAAAAATCCCTGGATAATAACTGTTACAGAGAAGACAAGAATTTGTTCAACATTGCGCAGGAGGAGTAGCAATAGCTAATTAAAAAGAAACTAGACCACTCATAATCTCTAGTTTCCAAAATCGAACAACCGTAGAGCTAATAGCACTAAAAATAACTTAAAAAATGAATATTTAAATATCATAACTGCCGTATAAACCACCAAAAAAACAAATCAACATTAACGAATAAACTAATATTTACATAATTCAGAACCTACAATTTTAATGGGAGATCTAAACATAACATATCAATTGCGGTTGCAAAGTGAATACACCTAATGGAGGAAAATGTTGCGTAAAAAGCATCATCAACATTAAACTTTCAAATCAAAGCCCCAACAAAACCTTACTCATTACCCCA